CGCAAGGTGATGTCGAGACCGGCGCGTTGTTTGTTTTTGCGGCTAGGATCAGAAAACACGTTTCTATGTTCTTTAACAAGAATCGCAGCTAGCTGAAATCGCTCCTGCAAACTTGGACCATTTGAAACTGTCGAGTGACGTGCTCAGTTTGTTGTACCGTCTAGGAATCGTTACCTCTGGCGGCGGCGGCGGTATGTAGCGGCAGAAGGAGCGCCCGTCGCCAACCCCGGATCCCGATGTCCCGACAAACATTCTGATCTGTTTTCCGGCGTTAACGGGCTCTTACTCTTGGTCCTTCGTCTTTGCAGGACTGAGACCCCCCACCTCGAAAGGTGCAGCCGAGATCTCCGGCGACCTCTTCTGGGCAACGGCACCCTCGTCGTCGCCGGTGCGTAGCGGCAACCCGACACCCCAAACAGGGGGGACTGGGTTCGCCGCTGCCAGGGGTGGAGGCGGGGCCGGCTCTGCGCCGAATGGCCAGATCTCGGGCCGGGTCTCCTCGGCACCAGCACCCGCGTCGTCGCCCGTGTGCAGCGGACACTCGTCACCCCAAACAGGGGAGACTGGGTTCGCCGCTGCCGCGGGCGGAGGCCGGGCCGGCTCTGCGCCGAATGGCCAGATCTCGGGCCGGGTCTCCTCGGCACCGACACCCGCGTCGCCGCCCGTGTGCAGCGGACACTCGTCACCCCAAACAGGGGGGACTGGGTTCGCCGCTGTCAGGGGCGGAGGCGGGCCCGGCTCTGCGCCGAATGACCAGATCTCGGACTGTCTCTTCCCGGCACCAGCACCCGCGTCGAAGCCCGTACGCAGCGGACGCTCGTCCCCCCAAACAGGGGAGACTGGGTTCGCCGCTGCCAGGGGCGGAGGCGGGGCCGGCTCTGCGCCGAATGGCCAGATCTCGGACTGGCTCTTCCCGGCACCAGCACCCGCGTCGAAACCCGAACGCAGTGGACACTCGTCCCCCCGAACAGGGGAGACTGGGTTCGCCGCCGCCAGGGGCGGAGACGGGGCCGGCTCTGCGCCGGGTGACACCAGGCAGATCAGGATGCCAGAGACGGTGAGTGGAGAAAGCGTTTCCTGGCCAGTTGTTACCCTGCCTATTTTCGTGGTGGATCAGCCGCCGAACGGGTCTGCTTTCGGCAGAGGTAACACGGGGAGGCTACCCCGAATCGTCAAAGATCCGGGGGGCGCTTTGCGAACTCAAGGCACCCCTAGCGAGCTGCATTGCCCCCCCGCTCCCCTGCTGGCCTGTCAGTGGTAGTTCGTTCGTCGCTGATGACGTAACACTCGAAACAACACGCCTCTTTGTAGAACAGGTATTTAATCGCATAGCTTCCGAAGAACATCTAAAAGTATCTGGTGCACACCGGTATTCCACACACCCCGTTGCAAACTCTTTGCTGCGCGTGACATTCGGTGTTAGCCGACCCCTTGATGGTGCGTCGAATGTCGATGGATCCCGTCGTCGAGCTTGTGCACTATTATACAGACCAAACATGATCCTGACGAATCTCGCCCCCGCGCTCTTGCTGGGACTATGTTTTCGGAACCCTGTCTTTCTGGCGCCAGGACTCTCTCAAGAACACGACGGCGTAGTACTCAATGGGCTGCCCGGTGAACCTGATAATCGCTTTACACCAGCGGCATGCCAGGTGTGTGTGTGTGTGTGTTTTTTTATTGTTAGCATCGACCGCGCTAACCGGCTGACCAATGAAAAGACGTCAGTCTCAGTACGGTTGAAAACACGAAACATTGTGTGTGTGTGTGCCTCGAGCGTGGGGGCGGGTTCGGTTCCTTGCCATCGATGGTAGTCGCCGTACCTGAGGAAAACTGCGGAGCGACGCTTCAAAAATCATGTCAACAATGCTGGCCCCGCCCATTAAACAAGTCGAGAGAGAGGATATCAGTCGTTACAGAAAGGTGTGATAACTTGCTCGAGATTCTATGAGGACCCCGAAAGTGATGACAGCGTTTCGGTTCCTTGATTATTTTCATCAAGCTCGGGACACACACAAACCCTGTGTCTCGCGCTAGAGAGACAGAGAGATTGCGCCGCCCGAGCCCCCGACAAGGGGTGCGTGCTTCAGGGCGGCAGATGTGTGTTGTAGACCTTGGATCCCTTGATTTATCCAATGTGGGTGAAGGGATCCAAGGTCTGCGCTGCGCTTGACACGTGTCCCGCTTGAGCACGTAGGCGTTATCGCTAGTTCCGGCGGCGTACAGTACATCTCCTCGCTTGCATCCTCGAAGACGGGCACCAAAGCCTCCATCGCTCTAGAGCGAGACACCAAAGAAATTTATGTGTGTCCCGATTTTGGCGGACCAAATCATGGCACGGGACCGCTGTCATCGTTCTACGGCCTATTCATAGAATCTCGAGCAAATCTATCTACAAGTAGGGGGTGCGCTCGTTGTCTATGGAACGTCTATTGCGGAGAAATTGATCGTATTTAGGGGAAAACTTTGTGTGTTCCCACCCCAGAGAGAGCCGGGTGGGAAAAGTACAAAGCTGTGCGGCCTGTTTCACTCTTTCGGACCACTAGTCACGCCTCGTGGTCGAGAACAAAAGCATCGTTCCTGTTCCGCCCGACTCGCTTCCGGAGTGTTGTCCGACGCGTCGCTTTGGCGACGAGCCGACCTCGTGCGGAAGTAAACGTTCGCGTTAAGTGTGACGATAGTATTTCTTGCATGCCGTGGATGAATCCCCAGGGCGCCGTAGCTTGGCAAGGTCAAGGCCTTTTCAACGGGGAGAGTCGTGACGGGGAATTAACTCCCGTTTTTCCCTGTCTATTTTGCCTCTCTCCCCGCAGCACGTCAACGATCTCGTCCAGTCTGGACATGGCCGTGTTCATAGAGACAAGCGGTGAGTCCAAACGTACGTCGTAGAGTAGTACGCCGTACAGACAGGTAACAGGTTATTCGGTGTCTTCCCATGATTGCACCACGGACGTCTTGGATTGTACCTGAAGGAAGGAACTACCGTACCCTCCTCGCGTTTTCGATGAAGGCAAGTGCCGCAGAGGAATCCTCTCGTTGAATTCTGGATGGGGGCTCCTCAGTACAGGACGCGAACCCGCAAGGTACGCGGACATTCCGAGCGATAACGACAAAAGCGTTGCTGAGAACGAAGCCACGCAAAAAAATCAAGCAAATTGAACACAAGCAGTGCTGCACGAAGCGACAACAAACAAGTCAAGTCAAAACCTGCAATTCACAACATCGTTGTGTCTCAATGCGAGAAAGCGCGAAGGACATACTTAGACCTCGGTCCGGTGTTGGTCAAGGGGCCATGCAACTCACAGACAGATAGATGTGGTTCCGAGCCGCCGCTCGGTGATTGCTTCCTCTGTAGGCAGGTGTCGGAAGACGCACTTTGCCAAGGTCAATTGTAGATTCGACAACGAGGGGGAGTAGCACACTTGGGAAGCAGTGCGGAACACAAAGCACAAGGAATATACTGGTTGATATCTTTGTCGAGTGAATCATATGCCTTCTTGGCGATCATCATTTTTGGTTGCCGTGCAGCCAATCCCGGTGCTACATAATTCGAAAATAATGGCTTGCTTTCCTACGTTGGATGTAAACGACTGCGTGCCCCTTGCTTTAGGGCGACGTGTACCAGTCGACTGTTGAGGGAACCTTCTTGTCTCATGTGTGCTACACGTACGTTTGATTGCGATTCCGAAGTGGCCAACAGTGGTGGCGCTCCTTTGTGGTCGGTTGTGGCAAAAGACACAACGAGAACGTCCAATGGTTTCCAAATGGCAAGAAATTCGAAGGACCTAGCAAAATTGTGTGTTTCTGGATAAATGTTTGTCCGGGTAGAGGATTGGAGAACATAGCAGGAACTCTCCCGAAATCGAAGAAAATAAAGGTGGAGCACAACCGACCTTGGTTGAACTTTAGAAGCCGCGAACAGGGCTATGCCCGTGACAATCTCAAGAAGAAAGGGTTTTTGGTCGTGATGGTGTTGATTTTCGTTCTCAACGGGACGCATGATAAACGGAAAATTACGATTTCATTGACAAAGCAAAGCAAAGACCCAGGCCTTATCCCGGCCCCAATTTCACTCATCCGTATGCGCCTACTTTGTGCAGATCCTCCGGTCGTGTTATGGTACGATCTGGTCGGTGTCATCCATTGACGATCTGCTACTTCTGGGGACGCTGTCGCCTACACGCGTAGACCACGCGGGGCGTGGACTGGCTACTACAACAACGGCAGGGTCGGCGAAAACCTGTCCGACCTTGACGTGCTCACCGCACGGGTGGCTGTGCTGCGTTACGCCAAGCGCGGTTAGACCTTGGGGTTGCATCATCGTCTACGATGGACTGCGACATTTGTGTGTTCCCTGTTTCTTTGCGGTGCAAGAAAAACCGGAACCGGTGTTTTGGTGTGTTTCGAGCAGGCTGGGTTGCGCTCGAAGCAAGTGGCGGTCTCGTCCTTTCGTGAGCTTCGTGGATTTCGGTGTATGAATCAAAACCGCTGCTGGCAATGCGGCCGGCACAACCGTGCGGCTAGCACAATCGGCTTGTGACACTCCCAACATCACCACGTGTTTCTACTCTGCACGGTGCTCGCTGGCATCGCCGTCAGTTAGGCCATGTTACCGGGCGGGTGGTGCAGCACGCACGGCTAACCTTGTGTCGAGGTTAAGCTTTCTCGGAAGAATGACAGACAGGCCTACCGACGGGGCCTCCAACAAGTCACCACGTGGAACACCCATCTTTGAGTCACCATTGTGTATATGCACGCAGCAGGGCGCGCAAGCTAGAGACTGTTCATGGCAAAACTTGAAAGATTGGGCACTCGATGAAAACATCACTTGGTTGTGTACTCTTCGTGTGTTCCCGCTGTCCCTCGCTGTTAACACGAAATGCCAAAAGCTTCATGTATGCACCCATAGATTTTTCCACCTCGCCAGCATGACCGAGTATGCCACATGCACACCATCACGTATTCGATTAGGTTCGATTCGGTTAGCGATCATATCGTTATTTGTCACGTCATGTAACAACGTCATCACGAGAAAACAAAGTAGGCCTTCACTACATTTCGCGACCTCCCCGCTACAATGAAACTCGACACGAAACATTGCATGCACAATACAGTTCAACCCGTACCATCTCATTACAACTGACGGCAGCGACTACTTGGTTAGTCCTTCCCGAAACAAAACAAGACAAAGTCCCCTGCGCAAGTAAGGGTCGGTCCCCTTCTCGTGCCTGCCCTGTGCGTACGTTTCACGACTCACGACACGCGCCGTATACGTACGCAACACACGTTTACCACACACTGGATGGACCAATGACTTGGCTCGACGTAGGGCCCTCCAACACCGAGTGCCGTGCTTAGTGAAGCTCCCGACGAGATCCCTAGAACCCATAGTGCCTACCGCGTGGGGATACAAACCCACACGACAATAACGCCCCAGGGAGTGCCTTCTACCACACGTCGCATCGTGACGGCAAAAGAGGGCTACAAATAGAGGGCCCTCTTCCACCAACGAGAACTGAATCCCTCACAGACATGCGCGGATCATATGTATCAACGTCAGGGACGCGTCTCTACGACAGGGAAACACAGAAGCCCATTGTAAAACGCTTGGCACAGACAGATAGCCGCATCCTCCGTATCTCTGAAGACGACCACCTACACGGGCGCGACACCATGATTCTGTTCGCCAAATTCCCATATGGAACATCCCCCCTGTGTCCACACAGCGTGATTAGCGCACATCGTATCTCGCAGGTAGTCGTTCCTTCAAAACACGTGCGCCACGGTCGCCGCATGAGACATCCGTATCAAATTGTACCTTCTTTCTCGAACACCTCATGACGCACCGCTTTGTTTAGCTCTTTTCGTGTTACAGACAGTTTTCGTGCCCAACAGCATCCCCGCATCGGTTGCTGCATTGCAGCAACAGCAGCCGTACAATAGCTCCTTGAGCTCTCCATCCGACAAGGCATCTGCCCTCAGGTGAGCGACACACACCACGACCATATCCCTCCGTCAAGTCTTGCCGTTGAGAATCGGTCTGGCTCTCTTCCCGGCCTATCTCACGCGGCACGGGCAAGAAATCCTCGCCCCGTCTACGACTGCCGCTGCTGCCGAGGGGGTGCCATAGCAATGCCGGCAGTGTGCCCACAACCCCGCCGCTTCCACCACCATCGTCACCACCCCTGACTCTCCACTGCCGGTGTTGCTCCGGTCGGTGCCGGCGATCACACGAACGCCTCCAGCACAACCCCAACCGTAAGCCCCGCCTCCCGGGATTTCTTCCTCTTCTCCCGGAGCTCGGTGTTAACCCTGGCTTGCTCGGCCCTTTTCTCCCGGGTCATCCACTGAGCCCCGTCGCCCCTCAATCGACCGGAGGCTTCCAGAGCGCGGCGTGAGGGAGCGCGTGCCCTTCGACCCCCACCGCTGGCCTCCGCCTCCTTTTTGGCCGCCTCCCTCGCCTGCCTCAGAATGAGCATCTCAACAGAAGGAGACATTCCCTCCGACGGCCGGTTGGTCGGTTGAGGAGGCAGTGCCATAGTGTCGGCGGGCTCTTTTGCGATGTGGGTCGATTTCACCGGTGGTTTTGCTGCTGAGGATTTCGTGCTCATCTCAGAGGTACCTGCGGCGGCAGCGGTGGCAATGGCGCCAACGCTCCTCTCCGAGGTACCCACGCCTCTATTCACTTTCTTTTCGTTGTCACGAATCTTCTTGGCACCTTGGTAGCCGCCGCCATCCTTGCTTGTGGCGCCTTTGTTGTCCTCCTTGATGCTTGATTCGCGGCGAGCCTTTTTCGCTCCCCTTTGGTCGGCGGTCATGCTGGTCATTTTCCGCTCCTTCTGCTCCTTCTTCTGCTTCTTCCTCTTGCCCTCGGTAGGTGCCACGGCTGTGACCCTTTTCTCTTCATTGTTGTTCACTGCTGGTGCTTGGCTGAAAAGGTTGACCATTGAGCCCTTCTTGTGGGAGAAGCAGTACACGGCGCGCGCCGCCCCCGGCAGGCCGTAGGTAGGGCGAGCGTCACACCTGAGACAGAAAACGATTGCCACCAGGTTGTAGGCGGAAGAGGTGAAACGTTGCGAACGAGCACAACATGATCTCTTGACAGCACTCGAAACACCTCAGCAAATATTATATCCCCGCGAACGAGGGCCAATCATTTGTTTTTCGTCAATACCTTGCAACAGAAGTCGAGGTCTGTCGCCGTTGCATTCATTCTACCGCAGCTGCTGCGGTGAAATTATCTACGACGATTTGACAGACAGAGACTAAAAGATACCTCGACCTCAATCGCAGCTCTCAAGCACACGCATGATCAGGATTCACCGCAACTCTGTGTTCCAAAATAAAGCTTAGGTTTTATCTGTGCGTTGTCTCACCCTGGAAAGAGGCAAGAGCGGTTTTGCAGTGCCGGGCTTTCTTCATGTCCGCTTGATGATGGCTCCGGTCGGTTCTTACCTGTAGCATGATTGGAGTTGTAGAGCAAAACCCGGCGTTGGGACCACGAATAGCGCAGAGTTGCCGCAACGGAGTGCAGTGCGTCAAGGTAGGCGTTTCCTACTCAAGAGTCAGCCTAGAGTCGGCTTTATGCGTCAAAAATTGAGTGAATACGTTGCATACAAACGCTATCCCTCCGCACGCTCAATGTCATGGGATATGTGGGAGTGGTTTAGATCGCCAGGCTAACCCGTGTGTCATTGTTCAATGCATTCACAAACATCCAACTTCTTGTATCATACATGCGCACGAAACAACAGCCGGCCAGAGCCACTTGTTGGTCACCCCCCAGTATCTTACGTTTCAATGTGTGTACCGACGAAGAAAGCTTCGCCTTGGGCTTGCGGTGAGAGGGTACCAAGGAGCCGCTGCTTCCTGTAGAGCGCCGCCGCGGTTGGGCGGATGCCGCTTCCATCCCTGTCAAACAGCCGAAGAGAGAAAGAAGGTCGTGGAAATAGACGGCGGCAAACGAAAGAACGGTGATTAAAGGGCGGTTGCGGTTGGAAAGGACGTTATTGACGAACCGACCGATTGGCTACTACCCGCTTTGCCTGCTCGAGAGCAGAAAGAAGTCGGAAAACATGTGGCAAACTACTTCGCGACACATCCATTAGGCGATGTATCTTGTTCTCTCTTGGTTAACGCAGGTCGGGTACCCGCCGGGTGGGATGGAACTGCAAGGCTGGAAATACGTGAGCAGGTTTGCTACCCCCTAGTTGAGTCCGTCATTGCTTGGAGCCGACTCACACAACAATGTCCATGGAACGGGTACGAACGGTTCAGGGCACGAGCGGACCACCGGCAAAAAATTCAAAAAACGCCGCCGGACACGGCCACACCACCACCACTACGGAAGCAAGGGCATACATTGAAGTGGAAGACACGCCTCATGCTCTGTTCAACGCATACTTCCGCCCTGCCCTAGGGGCCAAGGCTGAAACACAGGGGCGACACAATATTAGACAGACACCGCGCTCATATTTCACCTGCAATTTCACTGCTGGCTGGGGAGGGGGGCACCGTCACAGCTAGCACTGGCACCGCCACCGCCGGTGTCCGGAACGCTACGGTAGCACAGCGGGAAAGGCATGGCCGCCGTTTGAGAATGACGCGAAACACGAAAAGATGCGAAGTATGAGGCGACGCGGGTGCCGGGGGGCTTCTCTTCAACGATGAGTACGGTGTGGAACTCAAGGTTCAACCGGCACTACTCACCCTACGAAACGCTGGAGTACAACGTTGTACGGGTAAACGACCGGGTTGGGAATGCGCGATTGATGCTCTCTGACGTTGACCAAGCATCGGAAATAATCTGTAGCTCACGGTGGAAAGCAGTTCGGTAAGCATAAGAAAGAGGAAGCGTGTCCCGTTACTCTGAAGGCGCACCCACAATCCCGCAAGGCCTCCCCCACCCGATGACTTCGTTTCGGAATAGGGCTTGACTGAGAAAACATCGACGCCGCTAGGAACGTTTACAACAGCAGCAGCAGCAGCAGCAACAGCAGGGTTCACGGTTATAACTTACCGTCGCCGTCACGGGTTGCCATCAGCAGCTCTCCGTGGCGATTGGTGGTGTATTGACCGGCCCTTTTGTGAGCCTGACACTTGCTGGGCGGGGCGTCCCTCAGGCCATACTTTGCATACTTCGGGCACCCCGGATACTGTTCGGGATGAACGCATGCATAAACATAATGCGAAAAGAGCGGTGATACCTGATCAAAATGTTTATCTTGTGTGTTCGCTTTCACTTAGAACACATGTTCGTAGAGGGAGGTACGACCTGAGGATATCAAGCTACTGTGAGAGCGTATAGTGCTCACCCTTTCTGTTTCGGTCTCATTTACTACTTGAAACGGGCACAACACACATAAATGCACAAGAACAAAACACAACGATTCCGAATGGAACACCGTGTCAACCATATACTTCTCGAAAATGCAAAACAAACTTCCTCCACCATGAACTTGTCGGTCTTGTCACATGGTACCTCGGTGTGCGCGGTGTAGGGCTACCCACTTGCTCAGCACACTCCTCAAAATATACTGGCCTTTTCCTAGATGCGTCAACCACGGACCACACAAACTACTAAAGAGGTTAACAATTGCATTCACCACGTTGTGAAGGTGAATGAAGAGTGCAGCATCACCGAAACACGTGTGTCTGTACCTCGCAGCGAGGAGCCTTTGGGGCCAGCAGCGTCTTCGGAGATGACGTGGATGTCGGAGGTGGCGACAGGGAGGATGTAGGGGAAACGCCGGGCGATAGCGAGGAGGATGTGCCGCGTGTTTCGTCTGCCGGGGCAGTTTTAGGCCTTGACGACATGGGATTGGGGTCGAGGTCGGAACCTGTGTGGTGGTGTGATAGCCAAAACCGTTTCCCGCCAGGAGACGGACGGTGAGGAGGGTGCAAGAGGCGAAAGTGCGGGTGTTTGGGTTTGGGTATTTGTTAGGCATCATGGTGGGTTTTTCCAGGCCGGTACATTGAACGATGCAGCTCAATAGTTGCACGATGCCGCGGATGCCCCCTAATCTACGGTGTCTACCTCGTAGTATGCATGGACCAGGCCTGTATTGTTTCTCGCGTACGATGGCCGGGAGGTCAGAGTACGCACGGAAGCAACTCAACTAATACCACATCTCCCAAGCACGAAGAAGAGTGAATTCAATGCGTCCTCCGTTGATAGCGTTTGCGCCCGAACCTCTATCGAGATCTCGACCTGCTCAACTTTTTGGCGCGGGTGCACGGCTGCCGAGCGTGCCGCTGTTTCTGTCTTTTCTGCCACTTCGAATGGGCAAAGCAGACCTCTCGGTAAGGCCACAAGGTACGTGACCTGGAAAGGAGGGCAAGCTGCGGAACATGTCACGCTAATGACAACAGCACCGATACTTCCGCAAGGGTGCAGGAAATTGCTGTAGTCCGGCCAACACAGCTACACAGCTGTTTCAAGAAAGCCGGCGACGACCGGACCTACGCGACCCCTCTGGGTAAGCTGCCTTCGCGGGTGCCAGATATTTTACCCCCTGGAGAATTGATAGAGGTCGGAGACTTTGCCACCGTGCAGCAACGTGTCATTTGAAGGGCCACCGACAACTCCTAGACAGTGCTTCACGGTAGTCACGCCACAAGCTAGTCGCGAAGCAACCAGCACCAGCATCACATCCAGTCGTTCGGCCTTGAGCAGAGCAGTCGAAGTTCATCCGCGCCAGGCGAGAAATCAAACCAAACCACGTCGTCATCGTTAAATCCTGTAGCTACCCAATCAGTCAGCCATCCATTGCCCCACCGTAAACACAGGCCTTGAGGATAGTACCTGCCATTGAAGATACCGACGTCAACGGCTTCTTCTGTGAACACCCGCTGGGCGAGTTGTTGCGCCGTTCGTGACTGGCGTCGTCAGTAGCAGCCGCAGGCGATAGCGATGGTGTCGGGGGGCGCGGTTGTTGCTCTTGTAGGGTCTTCTTTGAGATCGTGGAGGTGTCGCTGCCGCCCATGTTGTGTCTGAGGCGGAGGGAAATGGACGGGTTTGCTGAAAGGCGGCCAGGCATGTTGAGCATGCACCTACCTCCGTTTTAGAGGAACCCAAAATCTACGCGCCAAATAGATTTGCGATGCTTCCAGAAACTCAACTTGAATTACAACTTGACGTCAAAATGTTGAGTTCCAAGATATCGAATCAAAAACACATCACGACAATCCTCATGACGGTAGGTGAGATGTCCCCTAGAAAAGGCATGCCGGACAAGACGCAGAAGAATCATTCTACGTACAGTAGTATCTCCGACCGCAAGCAGTCAATATTGAAAATATTTGTACATATCATACAGAGTCCATGATGACTGTAGACTAGTCTGTGGGAGATCAAATAAATTTTGGGTTTGGGTTTGTGGAAGTGTCACCAGAGAGTAATGGACCCTACAGCCACACTCACTTTGTCATCAAGCCCTACGTAGAGTTGTCAGCGGTAGACTACGGCTGTAGTCTACATAACCTACTGTAGAATATTAGACTACCGAGAGAGGAGTGGCGGGCGAGGACGAAACGGGCTCAGGACATTGGGGTGCGAAGCAACTGGGCGACACTGTTATACAACCTCATGATTCGCAGAGACATTCGCGTCGAAGTAGGAAAACGTAACGCAAGAGATTGAACAGCGAAGCGGGGACAAGTGCGGTTAGACTACTGCACGCACACGGCCGCCGGAATGGCGCCCCATTGGGCGAAAACGTGACAAGTTAGAGAAGATACATGTCTCGAGAAGACGGCTGGGAAAAACAAAACGCGGCGGCAGCAAACAGCAGTAGCAACAAATCTGCCGAGAACCCAAGTCGTACATCGAACGCAACCCGTGCGACTACGGCTGTTTATCCAGAGTCTGCGTTGCTGCGCACATGTCCTTCGGAAACACGCCGCATCTTTCTCTCGAACTAAAAATAAAGCACGACGTGTGTGTGTGCGGAAACAGGCTCAGGGCCGTGCCCGCTCGGGCAACATGCTGCTCCCTTCATCCGATCGAGTTCGTTGGCCACAGCAATCAAAAGAATAACTGGTCTTCTCGCCAATGCTGCGCTGCTTGGCGGCAGGTGACGTAAGGAGCGGATTTGCGATTTGGGTTTCAACTCTTCACTGGCCGGCACACCAAGGCGAACAACAGCGGTAGGTAGGGCTTGATGCGCGAACTTGTGGAGAAGACCCCGGTGGCGAAACTGCGCGCGGCCGGCGGCATGGCGCCCCGTTACCTTGGCGCACTTGACGTGTTCACCCGATTTCATTTGAATGTATCAAATCGTTATTTTAATTAACGCCCCCAACAACGGTGAGCTATATGTACAGAGGGCGATCTGTATCTGACACGAACAGAGAGACGAGGAACCAGAGGGCACATAGCATATGTATGCATGGTGTGCGCTGATATCGCGTATGCAAGTGGGTTTACCGCGCCAGAGGCAAGCCCATCGCGATCAATATAGTATTGCGTGGCACTGCTGCAGGTCTAACGGCTTATAAGAGCCTCACTATCATAGGATACACAACTGGCCCACCCACCCTCCGTCGCAGTCGTTTTTTCTGCGGGTTTCGCACTAAGATCAACGCTGTGTGCCCCGCTGGGACGCACGCTGCTTTGTACAACTTCAGCACGCTACCTGTCGCTACCCGCTACCTCGTGAAAGTGTTGAAGCATCTACGTGATTACCTGAAGTTTCAGCGGCGTTGATAATTGTGGTTGATCGAGGAGGGTGGAGGGAGAGGTCCGGTGCCAGGTGTGTGTGTCGGTTCTCCTCTACATATGTACACCAGTACACCAGCAAGTACACCAAGTAAGTAGTCTAGAATAACGTGTCGGGGGATTTGATTGGCCAAAGAACGCAACAGGAACCAGTCCGTCACCCACAGACAGGATCCGACGTGCCGACGTGACACAAACCGGCGGGTGGGGGCGCCCTCGTGTATGTCTACTGCCTGTAGCACAGCAGGTTGCGTACTGGTTGCCTACTGCTGCTGTAGTGGGGATGATACCAAGAGAAGGAGCCTTCGGCGTGCGTGCATGATGGCCTCCAACTCTCACTTTTTCTTCCGCGAATGTGTTTGTCTTGCGATGGGTTTCCTCAGCAGCACACGGCGGTACAATATACTGCTACGTGTGTCATCATCGGAGTGTTGGTACACCTTGTGCGGTGCTGGATGTGTCAAAAGCGCAGCAGAAATGATGTATCTCCCCCATACAGTAGCATGTGTATGGCCAAGCCCTTTTGGTATCTAGGATTGTTTTAGCTAGAGGTTGAACATCACCAGTAGTCTAGAAGGTCGTCCGTACAACACCTTGTTTTCGTAAAAAAAGTACCTGTGATTGCGTGATACAACATCCCCCATACATAGAAAAGGTTCCGACAGCTAGAGCGACTTTTCTTGGCGGGACAGAGAAAACAAGGGGGGGGGGACGAACAAGCAAACTACGCTATGTAGCAAGAATTGGAATTGAATATACACTGGCTTTTTTGTCTACAATGTGTTGCCGAAGTAGCAACAGACAAACAATTTTGGTGACGCTTTCCTGTGTACCAAGGCATTGCGTACAATATGTGGTAGTCTATAATAATATAGTCCTAAATTTATTCAGTCTATTACGTACGTTGGTCGACGCACCGACCGGCTTATAACGAAGGAGATAACAACGGTGTCTCGTCGCCGCCTACACGTACGTGCGTGTCCGCGATGTGTTGAGCGAATCATGACAAAAAACCGAGCTCACAGCAAGCAGTCATTGAATTTTCAACAATAGACGATACCGCACTGGCTCAAATCTCGGTTGGTGGTGGTGGTGATGTCTACGACCGATCTCAGGACAGGCGTGAGCAAGCGATGGAGAAACCACCGCCGAGTCCTCTATGTTAAAGCGGGTGTAGTCTATACCGTGTACGTGTCTATGCCCGACTTCCATCTGCCCTCCCTCTGGATCACCCGTTCCGAAACTTCTCCTCCAGCTGCCAGTACGGTGGCAGCTCCTATGCGTAACGAATTCAACGACACCCGCTTAGGGCCCATCCCCGCTCTCTGGTCAACCTGGCGAATGGACTAGTCGCTTCCCTATACTTCCACACCTAAACCGTTTCCCCGGCTCTAAACGAAACCAAAGAAAGGCGCGTGTTCTGGCAAGGAAGGTCAAGAGACGTTAATATTCCACCATCGCCGCGACGGCACCGCCGTCCGTCTCCAGCCGAGAACGCGTGCCGAAAGTTCACATCCCGCGTACGTACGCACAAGCACAACAACACCCGCCTGTTCTTGGTCACCTTAGTTAGTGGCCTCGAAAACGAAACTCCGCACGAGTGGTCACGTCCCACGTCGTCGCTGAACACCACTGCTTCGCCTCAGAAAAGACCGCCACGTCCCCCCAGCACAGAGAGTCTCCTGCGTGGGAAACATTTCGGAAACAAATACGACTAGTAGTGTACTGCTGCTGTACTGTAGACTACTTGGTACACAGTGTTTTGCTGCTGGCTGCTTAGAAAAGCCGAAATTATTCGGACCCCATGACTATCTTGTTTAGAAGCCGGATCAAACCATTATGGCGTAGTAGACTAGTCAACGCTGACGAGGCAAACGGACGTAATTCGGCTGCTCAAAGTGGGCACCACGGATCCTTCACCGTATGTATGAATATGATGATGATGTGTGTGTGTTTTTTCGTCCTATTTATTATGTATGGCGACAGTTCCCCCGTTTTTCGTGGTGAGACGTGTACTACACTTTTCAGCGTATGTAGAGTACTACTACACTTTTCAGTGTATTTTTTCGTACAACAACAACCATCCAGGGTCACACAGGAGGGGGTAAACACCAGGCCTTTTTCTTCTTTTTTATTTTCATGCCCCACCTTCCTCCTGCGGTGCGTGCTGACTTTTATTTTTATCGCGAGAAGGGTCCATCCAGCCATCCCTTTCCCTCGTCAACGGTGCCGAAGTTTGGTACTCACGAGAGATTTTCAGCTATATTTCGCTTTCACCCGCAAATTTTGTAAATTTTTCACCCCATGGGGATTCGAACATACGACCTCTGCGACTAGCGGCTTACGAGGATACCACTAGACCACCGGGGCGACCGGCAACCGTATACTATAGACGTAATCAGATACTATAGACGTAATCAGGCTCAAGATAAGCTCAGTATCCAGCAGTTTCTTTCTCCGCTCTCTGTAAAACTTCAACACATCCCTTCGATTTGAGGTAATCTCTTTAGAACGGGTAGTGTTGCCGTAATTGTGTCGTTGTTGTTGTTGTTTTCACAACAATAATCGTCCTGGTCGCTGCTCCGTACCTTCTCACAACCGAACTGGTTCAACTGAAGCAGATGCTTTCCGTGGTAAAATGCCAACCATAGAGGGTGCACATTTCTAGAAATAAAGAGAGGAAATTAAACCAGAAGACCTCCAAACGCGATGGTAGCAGAAAAAAGTACTAACCAGGAGACGAGCGATCCCGGAAAAATGAAAGAACAGAAAAACAGGTTCCATCCCCACGATTGATACAAGAGCCCATCGCTCCTGCTGGTCACGAGATGCCAAGCAAGACAAAAATCAAATAAAGTTGAGAAGTCGATTATCACCAATCAATCAAGACAGAATTATAATAGTCAAGACCACCAGATCCTATCTTTAAACCCCTATTTGACCAAGGTGGTTTCGCCGCCCGGGTTATATCGGCCAAGCCATTTCTCACACATGATTCTAGGGTCACTCGACCGGAACAACATAAAAAATACAGACAGAAAGCAAATGACTTCAATAACAACTATTTGAGGGTAAGCGAAAAATAGTATTGTA